TGTGCAAACCAGGCTGAAACCTCTGAATATTGGCATTCTGAAACACTCTGTAACTAACCCTTCTCTGAAACACTCAGCAACCCATAACATGGCCTCTTCTTCCCGTCCAGCTACCCAGAACATGGCCTCCTCGTCCCGTGGTTTGCTTACGCTCTTTCCAGAACTGAACGAGTCCACAAGAGAAATAACTGGTGCGGTGGCCCTTGAACCGCAACCAAGCGCCTCTGGGTTTGCTCCGTTGAACTTTCCGATGCGGTCGGTGGAGCAAAAAATGGCGGTGCAAACTTATATTGAGGCCAATCAGTATACTTTGAAGTCATGCGTGGAAACCATGACGGCGGTCACAAACCTGTCGCACCGGCTGCAGAGTAGGACAAATGAGGTGCAGCAGTTAAACGCCCAACTGGCTCTGCTCCAACGCATGTATAAGGATGCGCAAGCAGAGATAAGCGTGCTAAGGGCAGAAAACAAGGAGCTGAAGCGGAAAGTCTGTATGGAACAACCAAAGTTTTGAAGAGTCAGCCCTTGCGTCTCATGCACGAGACACGTCTTCGCCTTTTTGCCTTTTTGTGTATTTTGTTATGTTGGCGAGGACTTCGGTATACGTCTGTGTATAGTTTTGTTTAGCTAACTTAGATTTAAATGATCCTGTTTGTACAGAACCTTATGCTAATATACTTTCTGTTGTGAGTTATTAACATATGTAAATGTGGAATGTTATGATGTGCATATAAGCACGGCTCTATGGACAAAGATTTAAATTTGCTTCCGTTTGGCCCCTTTACTCTGATGAGTTTTATCTTATTTGGTTTGAGGTCGTAGGTAATCTCGTGATTACTGGCCGGTTATGGTGCTCGGTGGACAAGGAAGTACTGAGGTAACACCGTCAAGAGCCGCCCAGGATGGAGGCAAGAAGAAGAGACCAGCTGCAGAGTAGAGAAGAAAAATCCCGCCTGGGGATGGGGTTGTTTGTTTGTTTTTTTTTTTTGTGTTTTTTGTTTGTTTGTTTGTTTTTTTTTTTTTTGTAATTGTGATCAGGGTTGATCCTTGAGATGAAAAAAAAGGACAAGTTTGTGGAATGAAAAACCGAGGTGGTTGTAACTGGATGGTTTTGTGTTTTTTTTTATTTATTTATTTTTTATTTATTTATTTTTTTTTTATTTGTTTTGAATGGAAAAAAAAAACTATGTGGCAAAATAAAGTTGGGGTAACGCCCAGCAAAAGGAAATGAATTGGGGAAGATGGATGTTGCAAAATAAAGGTGAATGATGGGTTGAAAAGTAGACATAGTGATGGGTGTGAGAGAGAGAGCTCTCACTCATGTTTCAGATATAGATATATATATATATATATTTTTAAACAAAAAAAACAAATTGTGTGGATGTTGATAGATTAATAAAATATGAGAGAGTCGGTGGAATAAAGTAAGGGGAATGATGGATATGATTAAAGTGGGTCTGATGATGGAGAGAAAGAGACCAGATAGAGAAAAATAAATAAATAAATAATAACGTAATGGAAAGCAAAAAAAAAGAAAAAGAAAAAAGAGACAGTGAGAGTGGAGTGACTGGTGGTGTTGTCTGGAAGATGGTGCGGAAGGTGAGGAAGGTGGCGTTGAGCAGCAGTGGAGGAGGAACTTGGCGTCCTTCACATCAAGCTGGTTCCCGAGGCTGACCCATGCGCCGTATGAGAGTTGGCTCTCTTTAAGCCTTGATCGGCCCAGATTGTGGGATGTGGTCAGGACCATCGGATGATCCCCATGTCCCCACGAAGACTCCATTGACGACGGAAGGGAGAACCTCTCAGACCACAGTTAGAGAGAGAGAGAGATTGAGTGGGTGCCCTCCTCAAAGAGAGAGAGAAACCCTTGTGCGTTGCAGAGAGAGAGACCCAGCTAGAGAGCCGTGGCTGTTAATTTTCACCTTTATGCACGGGTAAAATCTCACGTTCCATTGTCTCACTGCAAAGTGAAGAGGATACCGGAGCATGTGTGCTTAAGAAATGTTCCTCAGCATATTTTCTTGCAACCATATCACCACAAACTTTACATTGTTCTAGATTTCGGGAGCAATGAGCATAGTGCAGATCAATATTTGAAGAAGGAATAGCTCTGTCACAGTGACTGCAGATGCTGGAGGTGGCCTGATCAGAAGCTATAGCCATGTGGAGACTTTAAAGCTTTGCAGAATCAAAAGTCACTTTTGATTAAGGGAGAGATTGTGAGTGTTGGTTTGGATGAAGAGAGAGAGATCTGTGTTGTGGTGTGTGTGGTATCAATTATAGAGAGAGAGCCATCACCCATGCATTTTGGTAAGATGAGAGAGAGTTCAGCCGTGTGTGGTGTGTCCTAGAGAGAGGAGAGAGAGTTGTGTGGTGTGCTCAAATCAAGGGTGGTGTGAGTGTCGGTGGCTTTGGCGAGGCAATGGGAATGGCGGAGATGAGTGAAAAATGGAGGCGTGGCTGCCGAAGTTGTTGCGGCATCAATGGTAGCCACAGTTGTAACCGCCGATGGGGTTGACGGAGCGAAGGAGCTGCTCGCGATGAGTGGCAGCATGCAGTGTGTTTCCTGCTCCGGCGCTGTTGGTTCTATGAACAGGTGATTTGGGCGATGGTGTGCATCTCACGCACTGCATTGCGTGTGGGCAAGGTAGTCTGGGTTATCCCACCCTCTTGGGTTGAGTGTGGTGCATGCGTAGACCCGTGTAGTTGGCTTGATATTTTGCAGGTCCTAGCACGTGGTTGTTGTTTTGGATGGAGTTCAAAATTCTCTCCACTGTGGACGTGATAGAGATGGTGAAGAAGAGTGAAGAAGAAGCTGTTATGGAAGAAGAAATTAGGAAATTGGGGTTTGCCCGGCCGGCGGCTAAAGTGAGGTTGCCACCCGCCGGTGAAGCGGAATTATTAAGTTCTTAATCTAGCTCTCATACCATATTAGAATAATGTATAGAGAGGTAGAATAGATTGTATTTATTCATATGGTTAGGGGCTCCTTATATAGGAGACGATTTACAAATTGTAATGATGAAAATCTAAAGCACTAACATTGCACTATACATAAAGTCTAAACCACTAACATAAAGCTAACACACTAATACATAAAGTATAAACCACTAACATAAAGCTAACACACTAACACTTCTACTGCTTCGTTTTTCAGATTGAGTCCATTCATTTTGCAGACCGCCCCTTTAGATTTGGATACTGATGGGTTTTATGAAGTAAGAAAGAGTCTCCTCGAACCACTACTTGAAAAAATATATGATGGAATGGCTGAAGAGATCCTTATTACATCATGGGAATCACATTTAGGAACAGCTTGTCACGGAGTTAACTGGGACCGACATTAACTATCTGAGCTTCGGGCAGCCGTGACATGCATTGGTGGCCCTTGTTTGGCCTCAATCTGCCGGCACTTGGCTCAAGGTTACCGGAGCTGGTCTAGTGGAATGCCTAATTTATTGTTATGGCGCTTCCATGGTGATTATAGTGGTGAAGCCAAGATTGTTGAAGTTAAAGGCCCCAGGGATCGACTCTCTGAACAGCAGAGAGCTTGGCTGCTATTTTTAATGGATTGTGGCTTTAATACCGGGTTTGCAGAGTGAGTCCTGCTTCAGTATCTGGATGAAATCATGTTGTTTTGCTACAAGATTGTTTGTATGAAACTTTATCAAAGAATGGCTGCTAACGACAATTAAAGAGGGCATTCTATTTTGAGAATAAGTGAAGAGTTTACCCTACAAATTCTGAACATGGTTGGAAATTCTTGCAGAAAGGTATGTGCTTTCTTTTCCGGAGAAACTTGAAGATGAGATGTGGAAAAATTCTCACGTGGCAACTCATGGGCACAACTCTATGTTTTCATGACTTTTCATCTTCTAGAAGGCAATTCGCCTTGGGCATGTTGCCATCGTCGTAATCATTACCATTGCCATTGCCATTGTATTTTATTTTTCAGAAACGTTTTTCATTGTACCAAATGGCCCAAGTGGCCCGTCGATTGACAGTGTAATGCTAGGATTTATCAAGAATGAGGTGATTACAGTTGACATTCTAGTTATTGTTTCAGAGATCAAGAGCAAGAGCAATTACATGGAGGGGTTGCCAATTCCTATGAGAAATGGGAGGTTAGATATTTGTAAATACTGAAGGTACTTACCAAAAAGTACATATAGATTTAGAGTTTTGTATTTAAATTGAATGTTCAATTTAGTAATTCATGCGCTGAAGTTTGCAGAAATGATCTGTTAATTTATTGAATTATGTTAAATGTTTAAGTTCTATTTTTATTTTATTAGTGCTATGCAAATTGAGGTTTTTTTCTTTTTATTTATTTATTTATTTATTTATTTTATTTTTTTATTACAATGTATCTCAATATAATGAAATAGTGAGTTAATAAGTTATATGAGCAGAAAATTTATATAACATTCTTGTACAAAATGATATAGTTGAATTAGGGGCATTCATTTCTGATGCAGCCAGCACATCACCAGCACAGCAAGCAGCCAGCAATAACGTGACCAGCACAGCAATTCCGTGACCAGCACAGCAAGCAATGGCTTTAGTTTATTATTATGTTCACTTTTAGCAATTGCCTTATTATTTGTCTTATGTTAGCTTTTCCTTGTTGCCTTAGTTTATTATATTTTATTACCTTTGTTGCCTTAGTTTATTATATTTTATTGCCTTAGTCTATTTTCAAACCCGTGTGTTGCTTTGTGGAGTTAGCCTCTGTTTTCTTATAAATAGTGGGTGTAAAGCCCTAGGGCTCTAGAGTTTTGTGATTGATATATTTTGAGTTTTATTACTCTTTATTCCAACTTTGGTTAATTCTGTGTGAATCAACTTTGGTTGAGCCTTTAAACTCGGTATTCTTGGGGAATCAACGGGTCTAAAGAGGAGTCTTATTTCCGGTATTCTTGTGTGAATCAACGGATCTTAAGATTGTTACTATTATTTCGATTAGCACTGCATCAGTTGGTATCAGAGCATAGGCGACGATGGCACCAAGGAGGCGGCCTATGGACGACATTTATGAAGCTGACGCAGCGAGGATGCAACAACAAATTGATGCCCTGACAGAGCAACTTGCAGCGTTGCAACAACAGCAGCAACGCCAGCCACATCCAAACCCACGGTCGATGGAGGATGAAGAAAGTATGGAGGAGATAGACGACAACCCTTTTGCTGGAAATTTCCGAAGGGATAGAGTTCGACAAGGTACGGGAGCAAATTCATGACGGTTGGAAGCAGGCCTGAAAATTGACATTCCTGAATTTCACGGCAGTGTTCAACCCGAAGAATTCTTGGATTGGCTTTTTGCTGTTGAAGAGGTTCTTGATTTCAAGGAGGTTCCGGAGAACAAACGAGTTTCCTTGGTGGCCACACGCTTCAGGGGAAGAGCAGCGGCTTGGTGGCAACAAATAAAGTTAACTCGAACCAGACAGGGGAAGAGTAAGATTGCTTCTTGGGAGAAGATGAAGAAACATATGCGTATGGCGTTCCTTCCTCATAACTATACACGCATGATGTACCAACAATTGCAGAATTTACGGCAAGGGACGAAGACGATCGATGAATATACCACTGAATTCTATCAATTGGTGTCACGTAATGACCTTGCTGAAAACGAAGACCAACTTGTTTCCAGGTACATCGGGGGATTGCAAGAACAATATCAAGATACCCTGAATTTATTTGATCCCTATTCTATTTCTGAAGCACACCAGAGAGCTATACAATTAGAGAAAATGTCAAAACGTCGCTCAAGAGTTACAGGGTGGCCAGGTGGAAACACTAGTGGCAACCGTAATCTGCCCCCAACAAACCGAAATACGAGTATGAATCTACCAGGGGCAAGGTGGGCACCACCCCAAGTTGATACGGCTGGTAAACCACCAGGAGGACAGTCAAACAGGAACCCTGGTACTAGTGGTGGGATGCGTTGCTTCAAGTGCGGGGAAGTTGGTCATCGCGTTGCAGATTGCAGAAAAAGTGATCGGATTGGCAAGGGCCTATTCATAGACAGCGAAGAGATTGTCGAAGATGGGACTAATGAAGTTCTGCAAGATACTACCAATGATTCCGAAGTTAGTATTTATGACAAGGAAGAACGAGTTGCCGGCGATGAGGGTCCTCTATTGGTTGTGCGCAGGGCTTGCTATACACCTCGAGAGGTTGAAAGGAATGGGTGGTTACGAAACAACATCTTCCAATCCACGTGTACCATTAGTGGGAAGGTGTGCAAGTTCGTAATTGATTCCGGAAGTTGTGAGAATGTCATTGCGGAGGACGCTGTAGCAAAATTGGGAATAAGTACAAGCCAACATCCCAACCCCTACAAACTGTCATGGCTTCAGAAAGGCAAGGAGGTAATGGTTTCCAAGCGTTGTTTAGTCCCATTATCTATTGGTTCTAATTACAGGGACAAGGTATGGTGTGATGTGGTTCAGATGGATGCTTGCCATATTTTATTAGGAAGGCCTTGGCAATTTGACCGCGACGTATTGCACGATGGACGAAAGAACACTTACTCCTTTGTATTTAACAAGATCCGCATTGTTCTTGAACCTCATAGAGAAGAAGCACCAAAGCTAGCCACTGAGAAGAGTTCTAGCTTATTGTCTATGCACCGGTTCTTGGAGGAGGTGGTTGAAACGGGAATGGTGTTCGTACTAGTAGGAAAAGACAGTGCTATAGAGAATAAGATCCCTGAGCCTGTGAAGGCTCTAATTGCAGAGTTCCATGATGTATTTCCCAAGGAGTTACCCCCAATGTTACCACCCATGCGAGACATACAACATCAAATTGATTTGCTTCCAGGATCAAATTTGCCAAATAGACCCCACTACCGCATGAGTCCAAAAGAGCATGAGGAACTTCGCCGACAAGTGGAGGAATTGTTAGCCAAAGGACACATCCGAGAAAGCCTCAGTCCATGTGCCGTACCTGCACTATTGACCCCCAAGAAAGATGGCTCGTGGCGCATGTGCGTCGATAGTAGAGCAATTAATAAGATCACCATCCGATATAGGTTCCCCATACCTCGGTTGGATGACTTATTAGATCAGTTAAGTGGAGCAACCGTGTTTAGCAAATTGGATCTGAAAAGTGGTTACCACCAGATTCGGATTCGGGAAGGTGATGAATGGAAGACAGCCTTCAAAACTCGAGAGGGGCTTTACGAGTGGCTAGTCATGCCATTTGGTTTATCAAACGCTCCCAGTACTTTTATGCGTGTGATGAACCAACTATTTCGGCCTTTTATCGGGAAGTTTGTTGTTGTTTATTTTGATGATATTTTGGTTTATAGCGCTAATAATGAATTGCACCTTCAGCACTTGCGCCAGGTTCTATCAGTGACGTTGCAATAACAGCAGCAGTGCCAGCCACATCCAAACCCATGGTCTATGGAGGACGAAGAAAGTATGGAGGAGATTGATGACAACCTTTTTGCTGGAAATTTTCGTAG